TAACATGACCACAGATGTAAATGTCAGCTTTAGTGTCAGCACTAAATTCATCTCCAACAGAAAATGTGATGTGAAGTTTGATTAAGAAGCCTCCGTTTGTGCTGGTTCTTTAAAGTTTGTGCAACCTTTACACCTTTGGGAGAAATTAAAGTTAAAATATGCATCATCAGTTTAAAAAAAACGGGGGACATTTCTTTAAAATACATCATTGTAGAATTCATGAATTTGAATGTAAGTGCCTTTTCCTTTTCTCTTCTTTATTATGTCGACCTCCTCTGACTCTCACAGTCTGAAGGACACAACTCTCAGCTGGAGACGTGTGAGGTGTTCTTCTCTAACACGTCTCCAGCTGAGAGTGGCACCCCTTGTGGCACCCCGTGGCACCCCTTTTGGACTGTTTGTCCTCAATCAGAACCAATTAAAGGCCGTGGTGGGATCCAGGGTCTCACTGACAGGTCACACTGTCTCTTCTCTTGGTAGGAGGAGGAACAGATGGATGTGACTCAATGATGATATTCTGGGAGTATTTCAGGTATGTGACAGTGGTTCATTTGGAATAACCGTGCACCTCTCTCTGTTTGTCATTATCCTGAAAGTCACTTCATTGTTCTTCCATAGCTAAACGTGGCTCCATTTCTATAAGAGAATAGATTTTCTCAAATGAAAAACATACCGTTACATCATTAGACTGTAAAATAAGAATAAAACTAACCCAAACCTGCATCTTTAATATAGTGCCTACACTCTGCAGGACCATGTTCACAATGTCCTCAGGAGCCTCTGATGTCACATGTGCATTATTCTATTGTTCAGAACTAATCTCTTCCTCCTGCATAGACGACAACATCAGCTAGATTCACATCCAGGTGACCTGATTCATCCTGGAACAGCATACCCAGTCTTATTTAAAGAAACTGACTGCTGAATAAAGGAGTTAGAGTATCAGCATGTTCTTCTTGAACGGTCGAAATAATCATTCTAAACAGGAATATTCCTATCAAGATACAAAGTCTCTTTAACAAGAGTCCAAGACCGCAGAATTTATATCTAGTTCAACAGAGCAAAGATGGATAAAGCAACGTCCCGATATATAGAAATAACATTTTAAAATGAATGAATGAAAAATAGAATAGCATGAATCAAAGGTTTTCAAACATTTGATTGCAGGTAATCCAGATGAAAAAAAGGAAGTCCTTGAAATCAGAATACTTGGGAACCATAAAGATACCCTGTAGAAGGTGAAATGACCACTCCCATCTTATCAGGATTGGTTAATAAATATAAACACACATTCTTCTGCACATAAATGTACAAAAACATCACTCCACAGTGATGTGTAGCCATTTAACATTGGAAACAACGAGCGCTCGACAATGCATACAATGTTTTTTTTTTTTATTATTATTAATTTTGGACTTTTTCCACAAAGTTACATACTACGATTTCGGATCATATACTACATACTCGATGTGATGTCATATTTCATATGAGGTTTGGGACAGAGGTTTTGTTTCATTATGAAGGACAGGAAATCTGGACTAAAAAACCTGATGCCTCAGGAGACTGAATTTGGCTGTTAATTGCTCAAACGTATAAATGTGCCATTTCTTTAAAGGTTTCTCAACTTTTTTTATGGCCATATCAGACAAAGTTTGAAAAGCAGCATAAGCTTTAGATGTGTGGGAGGCTGGATGTGAGGTTACCTGGGCAGAAAGAGAGCTTGTCTTGCTAATTCTTCTGGGTGTTTAAGAAGCATCAACTTAATTTGTCAGGCTGTTGCTTCATTATTAATTGCTAGCAAACCGGTTTAGAGGTTCAGTATCGCCACCAACTGGTCCGGAGAAGATGAAGGGAAGGAGACTGCAGGCAGACAATGAAATTGGTGCACAACTTTATAAGGAACAGTTCTCTTGGTTCACACCAAATAGCTTAAAAGCATTGAATCATTCACCAACAGAAATCAATACTTCAAACTTTTAAGCCTACCAGAGGTGAGTGTTTGGTGCTTGATCAGTTTTAATTGATCTCTTTTAAGGTTTTTATTTCAAGCATTTCTCTGACTATGGATCCAAATTAAATCAGAATTTAAACATCCTCCTGTATTCAATTACACCAAAGGGCAAGAGGAAGTTTTCTCATTTTGTCCAATCAATGCCTGTTAATCTCGTGTCCCAGAATGCCCTCGCACCTGCCATGAGGGCGACCCATCCAGCAGAGTGCAGGGGGTGATTACCATGAGTTACTATCAGAGGAGCACGCTGTCATTTTTATTCCAGGGGCAGACTTCCTCAGGCCTCTCTGGAGTTCCTGATATAGGCGGAGCAGTTAATGAGGGAAATACCCAAAGTTAAACCGAGCATGGGAGCCTGAGAGAGAGAGAGAGAAGGGAGAGAGAGGGAGAGTGGGGGAGGGAGGACCAGACCGACTGGAACGCGAGAGGAGCACAAGCAGGAGAAAGAGAAGAGATGTGCGAAGAGGAGGGCAGAGATTCCCCCCTTTTTGTTGCTGTGGCTATGTGGGTCTCTGGCATGATGATTTGGGACAGAAAACAAAAATCACATTGCCAGGGATTACTACACTGCTATGGTGTCTGCTTCTAGAGGAGGATGCCTGATTCTGGACACACAAGAGAACTTTTCTTTTACCTGTTATGTTTTTCTTTTTTTCATACATCTGTAAGAGAGGAGTTCTTGAAGCTGCCAGTCAGAGGATCTGTCTGAAAGAACAACTCTTCTGAGACAAGATGAGTGGATTCATGTGTCTGTGTGTATCTGCTGTGTGTCTGATCAGGTGCAGAGCTTAGTCGACTGCTGAACAGGGAGTCTGAGTATTTTGTTCACAGTGGCTAAGTTCTTCATTTGAACAGAGATAATAAGAATGCATGCATGACAAAAATGAATAATTGTAAACTTGCTGAACAGGTAAATAATCTTTAAACCATCTTAAGAGTTGAAGCGTTTAACACACAACAAAGAAACTGAGAGGCGTCTGTGCACAAGCTGCAAAAGTAAGAACTTTCTTTTATTAGTTTATAGAAATGTAAAATGAATTTGTCTTCCTCACATTCAGAGATAAGGCTGGAAAATATATGCATCGTTTTTGCTCCAATAACAGCAAACATTCCCACAATAAGTGAGTTTGCATTCAAAGCCTGATACACATTCTTCCTCTGTGCAAAAACTATTTAAAAAAAACAACACATCAACGATCCACACTGTTGTTCAAGCTGACATGCCCTTCATTATATCATACACAGTTTTACAGATTCAAAATGTAACAAACCTTCTGGATGAAACAAGAACTAAGACAGTGTGCCCAAGTATTGATGATGAGTTCAAGTGCAACATTTTTTTTCTCTCACAATGCAACATTTGTTGTGTACACAGCTTATTATTTTTTAGATACTCTCACTTGGTACTTATTGCTCATTTTATTATATCTATTGTTTTATATATTCTTAATATAGCCGGTAGAAATCTATAGAAATATGGAGTTTAAGAGCAACTGTAACAGCCGAGTTTCCCGCTGGGATTAATAAAGTAATTTTGATTTTTATTCTGATTCTTAATAATGAAGCTCCGCATTCTAGTCATGCAGTCTCCTCTGCCCTCTGACGGCCACTAAAGGCCACATGCAGCTTTGATTCTTTTGGATGTTTGAAACTGCTCTCCTACATGTCAGAGAATAACTAACAGGTTTTAGTTTTGATACACATCACTTAATTATGTGTTTTTCGCAGTTACAGGATTGCAGTTAATCGCAAATTACTTTTCCCCTAAACAATTGATGTTAACAGGTAAGATAAAACTGTAATTAATTGGAAATATCCAGACATTTTTTTGTTTATTTACATGCAAGAAAGGAAAAAATTCTGTTTACTTTGCATGGAAATTTAAATCTCTTACTGTACATGCAGAATTCACTTCACATCTGCTTTCAAAAGAAGCAGCAGAGGGCCACACCTGCTGGAGTCTTCTGACACTAGGAAACACCTGACCTTCCTCCTGTGCCTCTGAGCTGACAGCAGTGTGATAGAATACACTGGCTCAGTTCAGCAGGAACAAGAGTTTGGTCAACACACAACAATGATTTAGGATCTCAAGGAGGAAAAGTACACATGGCATGTTAGACAGTATGCATATTTGTGTTTAATAATTGTTGGGTGTTCAGTCGGACGATTTTCTTTTGTGAGAAATGTCAAACAAGTTCAAAGAGGAGCCTTTTTCTAGAAGCTGTACATTGTGTGGTATCTTTTCATTACATGGAATATATCATAATTAAAATCATTTTAAATCTGTCATAAGTTTAAAGTGACTGCGTTGAAGCATGTGTGAATACGTGAATCTTTACTTCCCTCTAGTGGTCACAGTGAATAACTACAACAGTAACAGTAGTACACTGTAGCCTAACTCTTATTAACGTTGTTGTTTAATGCAGCTTCCTGCTATAAATCACACAAAGTAAAAAGACAGATAGGCTTGAGAGTATTGTAAAAAACAAATTAACATTAATTTCTCTGGACGTCAACACTAACATATCACTGATTAGAATTTTTTTTTTAAATTGGGACTCTTTTAACAGATTTGTTTCTTGATATCACCCAATTATTTTCCATTCATAACAAAAACACGTTTGTACAAAAAAAGTTTAAAAAAAAAGTTTGTACCCCAAAAAACTCACAAATGTTCAGATTTTCAACCACACAACCCCATGGTAAGGGTGAGGGAAATAAGAGGGGTTTAGTGTCAATTCCAGTGCTACTTTACACAACATGGAAAAAGATAGTTTCTACAAAATTAAAAAAAATCTAAATTGTTTTATGAACGCAAGAAAGATGCTGAATATGTAAGACGTTTAGTGTGAAGAGACCGCTTTCAGGACAAAGTGATTGACATGTGACGGAGGTGGGGCAAGACTCTGTTAGAGACCGGGGTCAAACTATAGGCTATTAGGTCCAGGTGGCATTATTTAAATATTTTTTAGCAACATTTTTAAAATTAGAGCAATAATTCTTGCTCTGTCAATTTCTTTTATTCAAATTAGAGCCAATAGGGACAATTAGCCATAAAGTCAGAGTGTTGTTTTACTCCTGTACACTAGAGGGCGGTGTCACATGTAACATTGGTTCGTAACCCAACAACAACAACAACAACAACAGAAAAACAGAACAAGAAGATTTCCCGCGAAGAAGAAAATTGAAAAAACATCAACATGTTAGTTTTACAACTTGAGTAAACGTATAACATTAGTAACCGTGAAAACACCCGGTAACATGTTGAGTGTGGAGACGTTAGAGAGTCAGATAGCTGTTGTCATGGAGACCGTGGTGGAGGCGGCTGTGACGGAGCTCCGCAGACTTCTGGACCTGTGCTCGGCTAACGTGAAAACTTCAACCGCTGAAGAGCGCTCTGCTCCGGCTGTGAAGGACGAGGAGCAGCGGGGGGGTCAAGTGACTCCACCGGAGGACAACAAGTATTATAAAGATTTAACGGTAACACACAACCTGTTGTCTAATGAGTATCATATGGTGTAGCCTACTTTGATTATGAATATTCAGCGGTGTTACACATATTTATATATTATTAAGTTAAGTAAAACTAGACATTAAGGTTTCTAATTACATTGAGGTGAAGAGTCTTTAAGAATACAAGTTATTGTGTCAGAAAGGCTTTGATTTATTTTTCAGTTCATCTCATATCTCTTCAGTCTATAAATATATTCAATTCTGAAAAGAAAATCTCCTGAAACATATCTTCAAAGTGTGTTTTTATCCAACCATTGTAGAATAAAGATAAGTTCTTAAAAACTGAAAGAAGCCGACGATACACAATTAGCTTAGTTATTTCCTGAATAGATTTCATGTAATTATTTTCTGGTCACTTAATATAAAAAGTTAGTTGAAGTCCTTTTTATAACTAACCACTGTCGTTGCTAACCAGTCTTTCTTACTCACTGCTCCACAGAACCAGTTTGTATCTCTCATGTCAGCGTGGACCAAAAGTGCAACAGAGAAACTACTGATGATGTTGAAAGTGTCTTTATGTGAAGCTGAGGATGGTGCTGCTGCAGAACAGAGGCTGAATGATGAGACAAATCAGACGAGTGTGAAGCTAAAAGCAACAAAAGCAGGGCGAGTGGCCGGGCCAAAGAAAGGTAAATGAATCAGCTTTACAGGCTGTGAAGAGCTGTTTTCTTTTTATACACTTCAACTTTCTTTGTGATTTAAGCATCATTATATGTTGTTGTTTCGAAATCACAGGCTCAAAAAGCTCTCGTCTGAAGAGAAAGGGAGGACTCCAACCAGCATTCACACAGGAGAATGATCATTCATATCACAGAGGTATTACACCAGCTGCTCTTAACATGATATCTTAAATTAAAGCTTGTAATGGGTACCAGTCTCTCTCTCACTCAGATCTGTAAAGGCTACTTATTCTTTGAATCAATTTGTTTTTTATATTGCTGCGTAACGCTTATTCATTTTTAAAGGTTTATTTAGAAAAAGTGATTGAAACATGTTTGAGTATGCCTACCTTTGAATTTAGCTATGGATAAAATGTTCAAATTAAAATGGTTTTAATGTTATAAGTGCGTTGTGTGTGGCTCACACTTGCAGATAACATTGAAACTACTTTATGATAATATCATTTCTATGATGGCTGCACTGATGCTAATTCCATGTTGTTGTTGTTTTTTCAGTGGAGCAACAGCCTGAAGTACCAACCGCGGCTGCTGACCCAGAGTCTGAGATTGAATGTGGTAAATAGTCTGACGTAATAATAATAATAATAATGATACATTTTATTTATAAGCGCTTTTCAAAACTCAAAGACACTGTACAATAGTTAAAAACATAAAGAACAGCACAGTAAGGACAGACTAACAGACATTGCAACATTACACACAAATCATAAAGATAACAACAATAAAGGTAAAACAACAGAAAACAGGAAATACATCACAATCATACATTAAAAGCTTGTTTAAAGAGATGAGTTTTGATTAGTGATTTGAAAGTAGGAGGGTCGGTGAGTGTTGAATGTGTGTAGGGAGTGAGTTCCAGAGGGAGGGGGCAGCTGATTATAAACAATCAGGACGAATACTTTCTGTATGATGAATCATCTTTTTCTAGGCAAACTGGTAAAGTGGTATACAGGCATGACTCAGAGAGACATTTACAGGGCATATACTTGATTTCTGATATATTTATGAATAACATGTCCTACATGGGCAAAAAAGCCGTTTTACTGAGTTCAGAAGAGACTCTGCTGAGAAGGAAAGTGATGTAGTACGAAATAACTTTTAGAACCAAGAGGAGGCATTTCACACCAGTGAACAGAAAGCTCTAAAGGTCACATATTATCCTCCTTTTCAGTAACTTTAAATAAGTCTCAGAGGTCCTCAAAATGTGTATTTGAAGTTTCTTGTTCTAAATCCACTCTGATCCTGTATTTGATCATGTCTATAAACCCCTCTATTTCAGCCCTGCTCAGAACAGGCTGTTTCTGTGTCTGTACCTTTAAATATGTAAATGAGCTGTGTCTGACCACGCCCCCTCTCTGGAAGGGCTTGGGTGTCTTGGGCTTTCTCGCTCCATGTCCTATTGTTTACGGTGAGAAGGCAGACTCAGAGGCAGAACAAACACCTAGCTGTGGGAGTGTCACCAACCTGGGGGAGGGGCTACTGCCCTTTGTGATGTCATAAAGGGAAAATCTCCAAACGGCCTGTTTGAGCACACATTTTCTGAAAAGTGGAGCAGGCAGAAGACAGAGAGGATGGACTTTTCTCATAATTGTGGGGTTTGTAGACGGACTAGAGACACATATTAGAGTTAGAAAAACATGATGAAGTGTATTTAGCATAATATGTGACCTTTAAAAGAACAGTTTATGGTATAAAATGGATTATAAATGGTTAACTGCAGCCATATTAACATATATGAGAGAGATCAGTCTGTGAAATTGATCTGATGCATGCACACAGGAAAATGAGGTTGTCTTTGCCATTGTAGTTGTTCCAGTTCTCTCTAAAGTCACCTTCTCCTTATTAAAAATAACTTGTTTACTCTAACATACGACAGTGAAGACCTTTTAATTGGTTGCAGATGTTCTTTGGTCTGTTATGATGACAAAATGTTTCCTAAAAACTTTCTCTTCTTTATAAGCAAAAACAAAACATTTTTTTTACTTGTTGTGAGAGTCCCTGTTTGTCTTTTTTAAGCTGTGTACTGTCAAACTCTGGATCACGTCCTCTAATTAAGCTTTTATTGTTTTTGTTTCTTTTTTTTTAGATGATGTAGACACAGAGGTGTGTAAGTCTGAGTCCACATTGGAATCTGAAGCTCTGCTAACAAATCCCTCCTCAGAGCTGGACTCCGATGTGAGAGCAGGTGATGTCGTTCAGGAGGAAACAGAGACCGCAACCAACACGCTGGAGAATAGAAAAAACACCACGAGACCATTTCAGTGTCCTTCTTGTGACAAGTCGTTCACTCTGAAGTGTTTGATGGAGAGACACTACCTGAGTCACTCCAAACCTCACCTCTGCCAGGAGTGCGGCAAACGTTTCTCGGTGCTGCGGGGACTCGAGGCTCATTCGAGACGTCACACCGGAGAGAAGCTTCACAAATGCGTGGAGTGCGGGACAGAGTTTGCTCACAAGTCCACCTTTGTCAGACACATGCGTCGGCACGCACTGAAGCAACCAAACACCCGAACCTGCACGCTGTGTGAGGGTCAGTTCAGCGGGGCGCTGGCGCTGCAGCGGCACAGGTGCAGTGCCTTGAATAAGACGTTTGTCTGCTCGCTTTGTCCGGAGACGTTTCAGTGCAGGCAGAGTCTGGCCGATCACGAGAGTCTACACTCAGGTGACAGAGATTTTGTCTGTGAAATGTGCGGCGACAGTTTCTTCACGCCCTTGTCTTTGGCGACTCATCGGTTTACTCACGTGCAAAAGGAAACTGCTGCGACGTGCTCGGCCTGGGATGCAGCGACTTCAGCGTCCTGAAGAATCACCTCAGCAAACACACAGGAGAGAAACTCTTCTCCTGTGAGGTTTGTGGGAAAGGTTGCAGCCACAAGAGCGCACTGAAGCACCACATGCTGACCCACACCGGAGAAAGGCCATATGTGTGCGAGACCTGCGGCAAACGCTGCGGCCACGCCAGCGCGCTCCAGAACCACATGAGGATCCACACCGGCAAGAAACCGGGCCAGCAGCCGGTCTGCGACGTCTGCAGCAAGAAATTCCACTCCACGGTCAAACTTAAGTATCACATGAGCATCCACACAGGGGAGAAGCCGTACGCCTGCGATCAGTGTGGTAAGAAGTTTAGCAACCCCAGCAATCGGAGGGTGCACCAGACGATCCACTCGGGGGAGAAGTTGTATGGCTGCAACGTCTGTGGCAAGAGGTTCACTCAGTCCACCAGCCTCAAGCTGCACAGAAGTATCCACACGGGGGAGAAACCGTACAACTGTCAGGTCTGTGGGAAAGGATTCCTGAACAGTGGGGACTTCAGGAAACATCAGAGGAGTCACCTAGGGGTGACTGTCTGAAAAAATGCAGTGAATCTCCAAAATATTAAACTACTAAATGGTCACATTCTATACACATTCACATTTGCTTTCTGTACAGTGGGCCCCATGCTGTGAATGTGATGATAAATACAATGAGACAATTGAGTCAGTCATCAATGATTTCTTCATCCTGCTCACACAGATGAGTCAAATCATTTGATTTCCTCCCCGGCTTTAGACCATTGCTGGCTTCATGTACGCGTAAGAGTCACTATACCAGGAAGGATATCAAGAGGACCACATGTATCTTATTCCCACTGCCAGAGGGCTAAATGTGTTTAAAATGTTTGGATTCTCTCATCTGACAGATGCTGACTACCCATACATGTACGGCCTCAGCAAAACAAACATATAGTATGTGCCCCCTTCTGGCCTCCAAGTTGTATTACAATACTTAATGCCCTCGTCAACACATTATGACATATCCACAAAATATCTTAATTCCTCAGTGCTCGTCTTAAGAAAATGTTGCTGACAGGCTCTTGAAGAGATGAGTATTGACTAGATGTGAATTCTGGACCAGGTGTTCTCAGCTTCTGTTAGCATTGGTTTGGTTTTGTTAAAAAAAAAAAAAAAAAGTTAAATAGTACGAGAATGTACCACTTTTTGTTTTGAGTTCAAACAGTTATTAAAACATACATTTCTTTACTGTAATGTCTTTCCATTTATTGAATTGTCTCATTCGGCTTCATTAAGTTTTATTAAATTGCCTTTTCTTTATTGGTTTTAAGTTCTAATTCAGGCAACCAAGAATGAACATCTGCCACCACACTCAGCGGCTTGTTGGCACAGATGTTGATCCTGCGTAAATCACCGGGGGTGATCATATTGTCTCGATTAGTTTCATATTAGAGCTTTAAGCTAATATTTATTAGCACAATTTAAAATAAGAGGAACCACCAACATTTTGTGGAGATGGCTGTAAGTCATTGAACATTGTTTCCTGAACCTCATCAGTGAAATTAATAAGTTAATAAATAATGTTGGTGTTTGGTCCAGACTATCAGACTTAGAGACTTCATTCCTTTTGTCCACCCCTACCTGGAGATTTTGTTGTTGCTGTTTCATTTCTGTTATAAAATGGGACATGCAAATGGTAAATGGACTTGAGCTTGTATTGCACATTTCTAGTCTTCTGACTATTCAAAGCACTTTTACACACCTACACATTCACACATGGGAGAGGCTGCTGTCTAGTGAGACCATCAGAAGTAACTAATCCCATTCAAACACAGCTGATGAAGCAGCGGGAAAAATTCAGTTTTTAGTGTTTTTCCAAAGGACACATTGGACATGTTGCTGAAGGAGCTGGGGATCAAACCCTCAACGACAACTCTACTAATTGCGCCACAGCTGCCCCACAGACCAAACTTCTGATAGACATTTTCCCCTGCCTGTGAAATATTTCTATGTTTTCAAGTTGACCTCTGAAAAGTGAAACAACAGTTTGATCTCTGCTGTCTTCATCAGTAGCTGTTGATGTTGAATGTGTTGTTTTTTGTTCCAGCTGTGCTCGCTCAGTTTAATTTATTTTATTTATTTTTTCACTTGGTGGATTTGAGTGGAATCACAGGAGTCACTTACATGTGGGTAATTATATTCGTCATTAAACAAGGGAAGGGCAGGAGGGGGTAGATAAGGTCAATAAAGAAAGCAGATAACCTCTGATAATGAACACTTCATTGTGCCTGAGAACTTGAAATGTTTGAAAGAAATGCAAGTTCTTTATTTTCTTCAGTCTTAGAGAAGTTCATTTCTTCACAGTATTAAATCTCTACAGTGGGATGCCAATACTAGATATATATTGGTATTTCTTTCCCCTTATTGCCTCGTAAATAAATCAACTTGGGCTGAATCCCTCCAAAAAAAGTCTGATATAAGAAACATGATGAGGACAGCACTAATTACCACACTGATGTTTGGAGTTTCACATTACAAACTCTGGGAAATGATTTCGTTGTGGATGAATTGAAGCATCTATCAGAAGGTTTTCATGTTTACTTTGACCTCCTTTATAAAATAAAATTGTGACAACCTACATGGACAAAACACGGTAAGAGTGATATCAGAGTATTATAGGTCTGAAGCGGTCTGAAGCTGTTCAATCTGAAACAGACAGTGGTGTTTAAATTCTCAGTTTCTCTGTTACATGTGTCCACTAGATGGTGGCTTAGGATCAACATTAACTCAAAGACTGTTTGTGCAGAGACCTCTGAGATATTCACTATCAACAGGTTTCAATACACAGTCCTCATATATTTCACCAATATTTTCACAAAGAATCATTTTAAAATGCATACACATTCAACTTCTTTGATCACAGTTAAGAGACTGTAAAACATGTTTTGATCAGCGGGTTACACAGAGTTTTCAATGGAAGAATTTATTCATATTTATAATTTTAGTTTCATATTTCAGACGTTTGTATGTTGCATTTTCACGTCCTTTCAAGGTAAAGGAATGATAGATAACTATATGTAAAAAAAAACAAAAAACATTGGTGATCACTTAAAATGAATAGCACAGTGAGAACCTTTGAATCTGGAAGAGATGGGTTAGGGTTAGGGTCATAGTGCGAGGGGAGCCATTATTATTATTTGGAAAAATAACGTTTGAAAAGTAATTTTAATTCTAAAGTTATTTGACAAGCAACATTTAAACTAAATGTTTCAGAGCAAATAAACCTTTAACACGTGTTTTTTTTTTTGTTGACATGTAAAGGGTTTAATGATCTGCCTGAGAAGAGGTCAGCTGAGTCTGTATTCACTTTTAAGTCCCTTCTTAAAAAACACTGTTACTTGCGAGCCTTTCCTGATTTTACTTGAATTTAAATTTTTACTAGAAATTTGACTTTTCTAAATTCCTTTGAGAGAATTTTAGGTCTTTTAGCGTTCATTTAAATTAATTTAATTTAACGACTATTTTTTTGACTGACTTGTTTTATGTTTCATTAGTTATTGCTGTCCTTGTGAATCACTTTGTATCTTGATTTTGAAAAATGCTATGAATAAAGGATATTGCTATTATTAAAATATTATTATTATTACTATTACTTTTAATAGTACTTTATATAACTTTTATATTAACTTTATATTATTAACTTTTTATTATTTATGATTATTATTAATTATTATTATTTATTTATTATTATTAATTATTATTATTAATTATTAATTTATAATATTAACTTTTATATTTATAGTAACTTTTATACACTTTTAGAGAGTTCGGTCTCTGCTGATGCTAGGCAGAAAATGCTTTCCTTTCAGCAAATGATATCAAATGACATTAAAATTGACCAATCACATCTTCCCTCTGAGTGGGCGGGACTTCCTGACCTGTTCCGCTTCAGTCGGCGCACCAATCACAAACTTTCCTAAATTAGCTAGCTAGCTTCCTCCCGCGGTAGGAGCAGCAAGTAACGTGACTGAGGAGGGGAAAAAGCTAATTTATTATCTTATCGCGGTTTTCTGGATGAATTTTGAATGTAAAGTTGGAGTTAACAGGCAAAGGAAGACCTACGTGTGAGCTAAATTTGGTGCAAGAAATGAAAGAGGCAATTCAACTCCCACAACTGATAGCCCACCTGTGCTGGACTTCATTCAAATAATATGATCATCAAGTCATTTAAAATCCATGAGGTCGCCATGCCAACCTGTTTGATTCTGGCTGCTGCTCTCATTGTTTTTTTTGTTTTTTTTTAATTTAGTGGGAAAATGTAACTAGGCTATGATGTAGAGCTGCAAAGTAACTGATTCAGTGATCATTATTTCATGTAATTCTGCATAATGTCTGTTTTACAAATACATCATACAGTGTGCCAATCTATTCATATTATTTATGAACAACATCACAGATTTATGTGTCTGCTGGAAGAACAGCATCCAATTTGCCATTGTTTGAAAGGATGATTTGCATTTTGCATATGAAATCGGCTGTTTTATTGTTTTTGTAATATTTATCTCTCCATGCTGTTCCCTCGTTGCTTTGTGGTGCGGCTGTGGCTCAGTAGTGGTAGAGTATTTGGTAGGTTCGTCTCTCAACTGGAAGGTCAAGGGTTCGATCCCCAGCTCCTGCAGCCACATGTCCGATGTGTCCTTGGGCAAGACACTTAACACCAAGTTGCTCCCGCTGCTTGGTCGTAGGCGTGTGCATGTGTATGAATGGATTTGTTACTTCTGATGGTCACTTTAAGTATAGCAGCCATCAGTGTGTGAATGTGTAGGGATGACCTGCTGTGTTAAAGCCCTTTGAGTAGTCAAAAGACTAGAAAAGTGCAATACAAGCTCAAGTCCATTTGCGTAGGCTTGACTTGTTTTAAAGGCTATAGCTTCTGAATGTGCTCGAGAAAATGGTGCTTTTGCAGTATTCTGGGCAGGTAAGTCTTTGTGTGTGTAGAGGGCCTAGGTTTAAAGCAACAATATGGTTTGGTGTGCTTTGGCACCCCCTGGAGGCCTCAGAGTGCAACTGCACTGTCGTAACACAGTGCTGTTACGCTTACCCCTCTTTGACAACATTGTCGTCATTATATTATGTCAAAATGTGTTGTGATGTGAATACAATCTGCAGGGATGTACACTCTGCTTCATGATCTGTCACTCTCCTGTTTTAGCTTCTTAGCTTCAGTCATTGTATCAAACAGCAGAGACGGGCTAACTGGCTTATTTTTTATGAATTAAGGCTCGTTTGTGACTGAGTTTGTGCCTGTAAAGCTGTACGCATCTCTAATGAGATGACCTCTGCCTGCATCTGGAGTATACTGTGTTAAACAGGCATTCAGGTCGCGCTGTCGACAAGGGAGAGACGCCATTCAAAGTTATTGTGGTGTTGAAATTACTATTTAACGCAAAATACATATTTAGAGGCAGGGTTGGTCATTTTTGAAAACTAGCAGGATTTTGAAAGTAGCATTCCCTCAGTGCTCCGTCTGCACCCACCCCCTCCCCTCTGTGCTCCCTCAAAGGCCACGCCCCTCACTTACATGCAAGAGCGCCGTTGTTCTAGACGCGGACCTCAGCTCATCTCTTGCATTGTGTAGAAACTACGTCATCTCATGTCTCCTTCAGCGGTAAGTAAACACTAAAGTCTGTCATCGGTGACGGGGTAGAGAACGAGCAGGGAGACAGTTAGGTGCCTGATTGGTTCATCAGATTGGTACCTCGTGGCAGACATTGGTCAAAGTTTTTACAGACTTACAACTGATACAGATGACTGATTTCCTTTATTATTTTTTCAGAGAACATGAGTTATTAATTTCTGTCAGGACCTAAAGACAATTTCAACCAAAATGACCAACCCTGCCTTTAAGAGTTGGAGTTTACTAATGGATGTGATCAATATCACCCTCCTCTCTTCAGCAGGTTGCTGCATACAGATCAGAGTCAGTTGAGAAAAGAAACCTTTATCCTCTCATAAAGCTTGGTCTGTGTTGGTCTTTGTTGCTGCAGCAGCGTTGACTGTTTCCTTTTATGACTCTGTCTGAGGCCGCAGGTCAAACACTTCTAATACCAGTTTATTGCATTTAGTATAAGCTCCAGGCCAGCTGTGTTTAATACTGCGAAGAATTCAGTGTTTTTATGGAGATTAAAGTCCTGCTGAGTCTGACACAGAAGTTCTATTTTCAGGAACTTTGTTTAAGATAACATGATAACACC